CTCCCCCACTGTATCAGTATGAGTGTGTGTGTATGTGTGTGTGTGTGTGTTAAAACCTGACCTAGTTACTGATCCAGTCAATGCAGCGGCGGTCACCGTAGCCTGTAGAAAAGTTTAGGTCAGTCATCTGTATCATCAAGCAGTGGTCAGTGGCATCTTTTTTTTTAATGTGTGTGAGCTCTCTAAGACTTATAGGTGACAGAGTGATATACAAGATAGACAGACAGACAGCATGTAGAGTGAGTCGGAAAAAAAACAGTTTTGTTGTTATTGATGTACTTTCAGTGCATAGATCCACAACAAATTTACACATATAATGTCTTTTGTCTTACTTATAAAGTATGTATTGACATGCATAAATAAAGTTACAATCTCAGTTCCAGCAAAGGGACAGGAGGATGTTTACCACTGTCACCTTTCTTTTTAACAACACTTAATAAAGGTTTGGGGACTGAAGACACAAATTAATTCAGTTTTGAAAGTGTAATTTTTTTGCCATTTTGCCATGTTATGCAAGACTTCAGCTTTGTATTTTGAGCTCAATAATGCTTTTTCAATAGAACTTTAAACTTTACTCTGGTAACAATCTGGTTGAACATTTCACAATGTTCCTAGTCATAATTTGCCAAAAAAAATCCCAAAAAACAATAACATTAATAAAGTAAAATATTACACGTTTTGTGTGTACTGTTTTGGTTCAAGTACAGGTCAAAGTACATTTATATATCACTGCATTCTGTTTTAGTTTCATTTTACTGACGGTCCCAATGTTTTTAGAAAGCAGTTTCAGACAACAGGGTTTCAGAGCCGTTATTACTATGTTGGTAGTGACAAAATGGAGTGTTCATTTATTTGTTTTAATTAAATAAACATAGGTAAGGTATAGGCTCACTCAAGTCCAAGTCTGTCAAAAGTCAGAAGTGAGTTTTCAGCTCTGACTTTGAAACAGTTTGGTAGAATGATCCATATACGTTTGATAGACAGTGAGTGTTTAATGCATGAGCTGTTACACGAAGTCTGTCTTTAAAGAGATTTTAGAATCCCGTTGCTACTCAGTAAATCTATTTCTTCTTCGTCTTTGTCTTCTTCTCATTCTCGCAGAGTGTTTGAAAAAAAAAAAAGTTCATGTGAAGCTTTTAGAACATGATTTTTTTTGACCATCTGTAAAAATTCACTCAATGTGAAAAGAGCTCAAAAGAGCTACACATTAACCTAAAGTTCAAACAGAAAAGTGCTGCTTCTGATGCTGTTTCTCTGTGTGGTGTCATTCACTCACACAATCAAAATGAATGACCTCACACAAGATAACCATCTTTTGTTTCCAAGTGTTTCCAATAGATTCCTCTGCCTGAATAAAGTGTGAACTCCCTCGGCCCGAATTTGTAACATAACCGTATGATCTAGTGCACCGAGCCGAATCACTCTAGTTTAAAACTGAAAACCTTTGATTTGATCTTTCAAACTTCCAAAGCTTTTGACTTTAAGTCAGCAGCAGCCGTGAACACAGAAAATAAATGCTGTTTGCAGCCATATTAGATGCCAACTAATAAATTGCTGACAAACATTAATTTAGGTTGTTTGAGAACATGCAATAGGTAATATGCACACCTACTGCATCATGCCATAATAAGACACAACAACCAACATATGACTGAAATTTCACCAATTTGTCTGCCAAACTGAACTGTAGTTTGGTTCTAACTCTTATAGGACCCATCAAACCTGCCTGCAGCCGACTGTATCATTTTTAATACAGTGTACTGTAGGTCAAGTTCATAAGGCTACGTGACAGTTACATAAGCCTTTCATGACAACTGATATAACCCTACATAAACATTTATAAAAATCTTATTCCAGTAAGTGGCAGTTGTCACAGCTTGTCAGCTTCGTTGTCAACACCTAGTTCAAGTGACAGGTTTTGCTGACATTAGGTTGTGTCATAACACTTTCTGGGGTGAAGTGACACAGCACGGTATGACAGCGGAACATTGTGCAGCAACAGACAAGCTATTGTTGTAAGAGCCATTGTCTCTGACAGTGTATTTTTAGTATATCAAAGGCATAATACTTGACAAATGAGGCAGGTTGCAAAATCAAGCATAGGTGAAGCACTTATAAAAAGTTGTTCTGACCTATGGCAGGGGTCAGCAACATGTGGCTCCGGAGCCGCATGCGGCTCTTTTACTGTCCTGTTGTGGCTCCACAGCAGAATTGGATTTTTAGGTAAAAATAAAATAATCCTCCTTTGCAGTAAAATAAGGCTCTGCTGACCATTCTAACACAGTTTTACACTTAATGGTTGTACACGCTCAAATTAATGTAGGCTGTATCTGCTAATTCAGCAGCCTTTACCCCTGAGGGTTGGCTCGCAGACTGCTGGTCACCATAGCAAAGACAGCAGTCTCACCTAGCTAGTAGCTAATGAAACGGCAAAGAGAAAGATTTAAGACAAACATCAATAATTTAGAGACTAAAGGACTTATTTGCGTTTATAAGCACTCCATCTGGTTTCCTGATATGTTTAATCTGCAACGAGAAACTATCAAACAGTAAATAGTCGTGAAGCTGAAGTCAGTTATTGATTCAAATTTTCCCGTTCCTCGGGCACCATTTAAGGTGGACCGGGAAATTCAAACAAAAAGCTGGCGAATGAGAAGCTGACTTCAGCCTCGTAGAAAGTCCAAGTTGAGGGACATTTTACAAGAAACTGTTCTACTTTTGTGGAAAAGTTTCTCCCGGAGATGCGAGAAAAGCAGCTATAGCTGAGCTAAAGATTAAAGCAGAGTTCCTTCATTTGTGTTTTTGTTTAAATTATATTTTTTAACCTATACTAGTACGTTAGCACATACTGAGACATATTTACAACCAAGATGGTAAAATGGAAAAAAAAAAGTTGAAATAGTATTCTTTAATGTGTAGGTCACCTCCAGGCCCCCCACCTAAGACTTCTGCCACGGTTGAAACCCCTTTCTCTCTCTCTCGCTCTCACTCACTCTCCAATAAACTGATGAATATAAATATCCAGTGTTTTGCTTCTTTTCCACTAGCGGCATAGAGAACAGAATAAATTTTTCCTTTTCATTTTCTCCACTGCTTTAGTACACAGCGATGTAGAGCCCAGGGCAGAGTGAGCAGGATTAAACTCCTCATTTTTCCAAGTTTTCACTTTCATCTGTGCCTCCATTATTCCCGTCATCACCTACTTTTCCGCTTCTACTTCTCTCCCTTCTCTCTCTCTCTCTCTCTCCCATATCCGGAAGCTTCTTCTCCCCGACATGTTATTGTTAGGATTGTATTATATCTGCCATTTGTGTGGAATGAGAGCTGTTTTCTTCATTCCAGATGAAAGAAAGACTAAACTGTAGCCCTGAAACAGCAGCATGCAAACAAATAAACAAATAAATAAGTAAAACAGCTGAAGATAAAGAGGGAAAAATGCATTTCCTTGGTTTGGTGTAATCCAAGCGCTTGGTTTTCTGCGGATGTTCTGCTGTGGTATTAGCGTGTCACTGCTCTGATTGGTTGTGAGGAAGTTTCTCAGCCTCATTCGTATGCAGATTTATGCACATGTGAGCGCTATCATTAGTATATGCTGATGAGGGTGTCTTTTGCATCCTGTGTGCATGAGAGCTGGAGGCACCTTAGAGGATACTTCAGCACACTTACAGAGAGAGAGAAATCATCAAAAGCTACTTTGGTAGATCTTAAACAACTTTGACTAAAACTGATTTTCTTCACAATGTTGTTCTGTATCTCTACTCTCTCCTTCTCTCTTTTCTCCCCCTCTCTCTCGGTAAAAATGCTTCTCTTATTGATTGGTATTAAAGGAGAAAAAGTATTTTGTAGTGTTGTAGTCAAGACTATTTCTTTGTCAGGACCAAGACTTTCTAGCAGTCGAGTCCAAGTCAAGACCGAGACCACAGCACATCAAGTCTGAGACCAGATTAAGATTTTTTCCGAATATAAAAATAAATAGAACTAAGAAGAAAAAGTGAAATTGGTTCGTGATTCATGTACGTTTGTTATCATTCTTTATACATGATGTAACGTCTCCCGCCAGCTCAGCAGAGCATCACCCCTCACTCTGTCCAGAACTCCAGCTCCCAGAATCCTCTGGGGGATCACATGACCACAGACTCTCAGCCATCTACTCTGCTACTCTGAAGTGCTTATATCTACTTATTAGATTGTTGTCACCTGTTTATTTGCCCATATAACCTGTTTGTTTCCGTAGTCTCCTTGTGAAGTATTGTATCAGTCTCCTGTGCATTACCGAGCCTTTTGTTCCAGTTGTTTGACTTCCTGGTCAACTGAATATAAACCAAACAACAAGAACAGGCATCCATTTTTAGTATTACACAATTATTAAACATTCCGATCTGCCTAGTTAAGCCGTCATGGAACAGATCAATTAGAAATGTCAACCTGCAGTGAACAGATTTTAAATAAACATGTTGAGCAGAGGTCTCAAATTCAAATAACCTGGCGATCACAAGTCAAGTCGTCTTCTCTAAGAAAAAAATGTAGGGAAGAAGTGTCCTGTATTTTTTCCAGGTATGAATTTTAACTTCATATATGCACTCATTTTAGCGCAACAAGATAATTTACAGTCTCAAGACCAAGACCAAACTCGAGTACTACAACATTAGCATTTGTCCTCTATCTGCATCTTGGCCATCATGTTCTCTAGTGTCTTCCTCTCTCCACCTTCAGGCTGTGTTCACATGTTCTATATTTTGTTAGGATTTTCATTTCTGCACTTTTTCTGATTTTTAGAAAGTGTGCCATTTTGGTGGTGCAATTTAATTAATTCATCCAAATCTGACTCTAATCGAGAGTATGAGTTTTACCAATTAGTTTGATGCTATTTGTGGAGGAGGAGGAAAAGTGTAGGAGCTGAAGCACAGTGAGCTGTTGGCCGAGCAGGCAGAGTGCGTGAGGTTCTGAGGACAGGTGTTTGGCCTCACTCTCACTTTCTGTTTCTCTCTCTCCCTCTCCAGGATGACAACTGGGCTGAGACCACCACAGCAGTCACAGGCACTTCTGACCACAGCCTGTCTCAGGAGGACCTGGCAGGTTTTGGTAAAGACTCTGAAGCTCCTGTGCTGAAGCGAAGCTGGCTGGCCTTCCTGCCGCTGGCTCTCACTCTGTTTCTGGGTGTCCTGGTGCTGGTCACTCCACTGGCCTTCCTGCTGCTGCCCCAGCTGCTGTGGGCTGAGCGCCTGCAGGCATGTGGGACGGCCTGTGAGGGCCTCTTCCTCTCTCTGGCCTTTAAGCTGCTGATCCTGCTGCTGGCAGGCTGGGCGGTGTTTCTGCGGCGGCCGCGAGCTGCACTGCCCCGACTGGCCGTCTTTAAAGCCCTGCTGGCCCTCCTCACACTGCTGCTGCTGCTGTCCTATTGGCTCTTCTTCGGAGTGCGCATCCTCGATTCACAGGTGCATGTAACAAGCACGCTCAAAATGAGTGTTAATTAATTCCTTAGAGTCAATCTGAAATCAAATTGGACTTTTTTACAATGTTAGTTCACATGTCTGGTCATATTCAGAATGTCACTGATCATTTAATAGACAAAATTCTTGTTTCTCCGCAATCATGCATTATAACGTGTTGATTTTTGGCTGCATCTGAAACATCTTTTGATTTTTATTACTTGACAGCAAAACTTAATCTAAAAACTTTTAATTTAGATTAAATATAATAGATAAATAGATTAATATTTAATGATAAGCCTAGAATATATGGAATTCAGCAAAAGAGTTTTATGTACTATGCAAAGATTATTAAAGGATCTGGCAGTTTGATTGCAAATATTAAATGTATTTAGGTCAGATTTGAAAAAAACATTCCCGACAATATTTCAAGTTTAGTTAAAAGCTACAAAACCTCAACTTTCTGCCTGATTAGGACTGCGTGGGCATTTCAGACCACACAATGATTGATGTTGGAGTAGCCATGGCAACGTAAACAACTCCACAGCCTCATAAACAGCATAGACAACAAATCATGTACATGACGTGAGCATTTGGCTGAGTAATGCAGAAAGAACTTAGTTAATTAACTTGCACACTCTTCCCAGCTCAGACATCCAGTAAGAGTGGAAAGAAAAAGACAGAGAGAATGAGAGACAGAGTGAAAAAGAGAGAGAGATAGATCTATGAACAAACTGCTCCCTAAAGCCCAGTGAACAGTGTGTATATTGTATTCAGAAATCTTTTTAGAACTAACACAGATGTGAACATTATATGGCACTTTTTTCAGTAAACAGTTTTTTATTATATTCAGCTAGACTAATTGTTGCAGTCCTAGTTTCAATTAAAGGACATTTGCTATACAAAAATGATAAAAATGCTGCAGATATGGAAATTATACTTTGCAGACTTTATAGCAAGGACGATACAGTGTATCAAAAAACATGAGCTGCTAATTTGACTAGTGGAGTAATCAGATGTGTTGTGCAATTGTTTTTGCATTGCTTTGTGTAATGGTCAAGTTGCATGGAAATGATGTCGCAGTCAGCTCTCACTATGCATCTACTTGCATGAAAGTTTCATTGTGTAAAGCCAGCCTTTGCAGCAGCTGTCTGCAAGTAGCTTGTTTACCCTGATTAGCTAAGATTTAATTAAGATTTAAGGGCTGCATTTCAATGATCCTCTTTTGAATCAAGATACTATTTATGATGTCACAGCCAACAAATGCGACCTTCAACGTTTACAGCCTGTAAATGAGACAAAGCCCAAGCCCTTGTTTTTAACACATCTGTTGTTTGAGTGAAGAGAAGCTTGATGCAGGATGTAAGCGTGAGTATTTATTATCTTAAGGGCCTGTCCATAAATCATTTTCACAGCCTCACGGCAGAGGTCAGAGAGCATGCCGACAAGGTAGTGCAGGACATATTCATAAGCATAATACAAACAAAGGGACAGGATGAAGTCAGAAACCAGAGCAAAACACAAATTCAAAAGACCTAGAGCTGAGGATCAGGAAACCAGAAACTACAAAGGACAAAGAACTGAGGAGAAGGAAACAAGGCCAGGAAACTTGAGAAAAACTAGAAAAAGCTACTAGAGAATATGGCTTAAACTTGCTGGCTAACATATACAATGAGACCAAACCAAAGGACAAATAAGCTAGCAGGAAAACTAAAAATTGTAAAACTATAGGTAATTTAAGTAAAGGAAGTTTATGAACAAAGTTCAGGCTATACAGTTTTTTATAATTGCTTGCAGTAGACTGAAGAAGGCAGTGGGAAAAATTGTTAAGAATTTCTAATCTTCATTTAATTTATAAGTGAATTTTACACAAAGATTACAGGAAGAAAATAACCAGAAATTTATAAAATTATATAAATAGAATTATTTATATATTTTACTCTAACAATATCTCTGAGTAAAATCAAACTCAGGCTGTTTCGTTAGAAAAGCAGAAATGTTAAAGGTGTTTTCAGCAGTGTGTAAACTGATTCAAACAGAATCAGATTGTAAGAACTCTGTGTGCACCAAACGGTGACAAAATTGGGTTTTTACAAATTGTTGTACAGTTTTGAATTAAGTGTTTAATTTTGTAAAATATCTGAGGTGTTTGCTGCTTGCATGTGTGGCTGTGTGAATGGTGTGTAGTGACAAAATGAAATCTGTTTTCAAAATTGTGCTTAAGCAGTCATGAAAAACTGTGACATAGGAAAAAAAAGATGTGACATACTTTGCCCATGTTTGAAGATAACAGTTAGCCAAACAGTGTCAGAAACCACATAAGCAAGTATATTAATTCAAAGGGAATCCACTGTTTTTTTGTGAATAATGTTTAAAAAGTCATTCAGAGTGGTTTGATGTGAAATGGTCTCTTCTAGAGAAACTTACAGACGTTTGAAGTGTATAAAACCTCTAAAAACTCCTTTAAAGGAAAGCATTATATGAAATGGTTACATATATGCTGCCTGATGCCCGAGACATTGTTTTATGATAGTTTTTGAGATCAAGCTTTGACCTAAAATATTTTAAAATCCATTCATGGCAGAGATGAACATGCAGAATGTATAAAAAATAGTACCTAAAGAAAATATATATTTTGTCAGATTTATCACTATTTTACCATCATTAACTTCACATACAAAAACTCAGAAGATGCATGGAGGCTCACTGGTCATTTGGCATGGTAAATGAAATGACTCTCCGCTCCAGTGTAAACGTATGTCTGAAAATGTCTTTGGTGATCAAATACAAGAAGATATGTTTTTTACTAGAGGACTGCTTCAATTTCTGTCTGATTAAACAGTGTCCTACAAGGAAAGAAAGGCTAAATGACAGATCTTTGTATTTTGTTTCTTTGTTTTGTGTGTGTGTGTGTGTGTGTGTGTGTGTGTGTGTGTGTGTGTGACAGGATGAGAATTATCAGGGTATAGTTCAGTTTGCCGTGTCGCTGGTGGATGCTCTGCTGTTCACACACTATCTGGCTGTGGTGCTGCTGGAGGTTCGGCAGCTGCAGCCGTGTTTCAGCCTGTGTGTGATTCGCTCTACTGACGGAGAGACAAGACACTACAACCTGGGACAGCTCAGGTACGCCACACTGTGTGTGCGTGTGTGGGTGTTTGTGTGTGTGTGTGTGTGTGTGTGGTGGGAAAACAGAGCCATGCTTTGCTAAGACTATTTTATTTAAAAAAATAAATGTCTAATTGAACTAATTTTGTACTATTCATGATGTTCTGAGGTAATTACCGTTGGTCAATTAGTCAGACTGCACTGCTGTTTTATTCTATTGTGTGTTTTATTCATTGTGTTCTTAGCTAATACTGTTTTTCAGTGTCACAGAGGCTATTGTTTTGTCTTGATGTGATTCAGAGCTTCTAGAGTTCTGTGTGTGTGTGTGTGTGTGTGTGTGTGTTTATTGGTTCATGCATAAATCATGTTCTGGGTTCAGGCCAAGAGGGAAGTGGACCATTAATCACCCATTTTCTCTCTCTTTCTCTCTCTCTGGGTCTCTTTCTGTCTCACTGCCTTTTAATGTCTCTCTTTCTTTGTATTTCCCTATCGCTGTCTACATCTCTCTTACTCTCTTACTCAATTCAGTTTCAATTCAAGGTGTTTTACTGATATGACAAATACTGCTACATTTGTATTACCAAAGCTTATGGTACACGGTTTAAGAGTTTGAAAGTTGACCTTTTAAATAAATAAATAAATCTGGAAAAAAACACTTAACTGTTAAGTTCTATATATATATATATATATGTATGTATGTACAGTCAGGTCCATAAGTATTTGGACAGTGACACTGTGTTTGTAATTTTGCTTCTGTACATCGCCGCAGTGGATTTGAAATGAAGCTATCAGGATTTAATTGAAGTGTAGACTTTCAGCTTTAACTTAAGGGTTAAACAAAAATATTGCATCAGCCGTTTAGGGATTACAGCCATTTTTTACATAGTCCCTCCATTTTCACAGGCAATTACAGATGAAAACTACAGATGGACTACAGACTGTAATTGTAGAACTACAAAGTGCACCTATATGGTAAATGGAGCGGTCCATGCTAGGGATGGGATGGAACAATATGATAATTTGCTCTTAAGAACTCTCACTAATACACTCTGAGATCATTTACTAACATAAACCACTACTGTTTACTGATTACTGTTTGGACAGCTATACTATACAACTATAGTATGTAAAGGTGTGCTGTAGCAGTAAGCAATCTACTTTTACTGTACTCATACATACACGCTTATCTGAATGTATTGGAAAATTTTAAAGCGTATGATCCTCATTGGGGTTTCCATGATATGTCGTTAAAATCGGTAACTGTCTCACCCCTAGTTCACACTTACAGTAACATTATTCACTCTTTATCTCTCTGTAGTATTCAGCGGGCAGCTCTGGTGGTCCTGGAGCACTATTATAAGGATTTCTCTGTCCATAACACTGCTCTGTTGACTGCTGCTAAGTCCAGGACAGCCAAACATCTGGCAGCTCTAAAAGTTTACAATGTGGACGGTGAGTTAGACCCTTTTTTTTCTTTAAGGCTTTATGCTTTTCTCTATATTATGAAAGAGTCTCCGATGGTTGAGGCTCACAGCTCAAGTCATCTTATTTACAGAGGAGCTGTTTTGCTTATTACACCTATTCACAGACAGCCCATAGGAAAATATGATATGGCTATTTATATCCCTGCATTTGGCTGAGATTTGATAGATATATGTGCCATTTGCTAAACTGTTGAGTAAGTTTATCTACACATTCAAGTAGTATTCGTTAAGCCATGCTAAATATCCAAAAGTTTGTAGAAACTCATCCAAAATTTCTCCTGAAATCAAAGGGTCTTAATAGGGTGTTCGTCCCCCTTTGCTGCAGTAACAGCCTCTACTCCTCTGGGAAAGCTTTACACTAGATGTTGGAACATTGCTGTGAGGATTTGATTGCATTCAGCCACTAGTGAAGAGCACTAATGAAGTCAGATGCTGATGTTGGATGATTAGTTCTAGATCACAAATGTCACTCAAACTCTTTCTGAAGGTATTGGATGGAGCTCGCTCGAAGAGAGAATTTAGTTAGTCAGCAGCTATGGGAGGTGGAGCAAAAACTGTCCCCATGTATGTTCTGAAAATATTAAAAATGGACAAATGGTTTTGCAAAGTTGCCTCAAAGGACATAATCTGAAGAATACACATTTGTTATGATATTGTTTTTTTAAGTATTTTTAAGAAGGTGGGTTTGCTTGTGAAGATGTGTACTGTAGGAGGTGTACTGTGAAAAGCATTTTAACCTATTCTGTGACAGTCTGTTATGGAAGTCTGAACTGTTCAGACCAGACAACACTCAGAGAGTTGTGGCTGCAGAACAGAGGATTACTGGGAATTCGTTCGTAAGCAATAAACACTTTTTGTGTTCTGGGAGATGAAATATGTCTATTAAGTTGTTTAACAGCCATTTTTTCTAGTGATCTGCAAATTTTTAAATTGATTTATGAATGATTAGCAGCTGCATGTGGGTGTATGAATGTGTATATTATACCTTTTTATAGGTTTCAGAGTGAGTTCCACACTTAACTTTCAATGTATGTATTTTTAGTAACTACAAATGGCAAAGAAGCAGAACAGAAAAGGTTAGCTTGCTTGCTAGTGTGAAGGTTATTGACTGCTGGTTACAGAACTAAAGTTGTCAGATTAGAATTCCCTGCTTTGAATTGCATAGCTAGTAAGACATCGCAGTTCAGTTCTCTCCTAGAGTGTAAGAAGCACTGTGTGAATAATGCTAATGGGGTTCATATTTTGGATTGTATTTAAAGCGGTTCCTTTCGGTTTTGGTTTTCCTGCAAAAATGTCTATGTTGTTATAACACAGAGATACAAGAACAATTCTTTATCCTGCACAATATATTGAATCATTTCTCAAAAATCTTAGATCTGGACTTTTAGTTTGGAGTGGTCATTATCATTAAATTATTATTACTTGATTTATATCACCATTCACGTTATTGACACTGTAATATAATAAAAATACAAAAAAATGCTTTTCTTGTACTGTATTATAACAACAGAAACGCACACATACAACGTGTACATGCTCTCCATTCCTGTGGTTTAAATATTACTGAATGCGCAGACTGTTATCCAGTTATTTGATATCTTGTGGATGTAATTTTCTCTCTCGTTTTTTTCTCTCTGCAGCGTTTAAAGTTAAACTGTAAACCTATCTGTTTGACTGTAAGTTAAAACCATGGAATGCAGTGAGCACCCACTGACCCCTCATCGCCCTGGGGGAAATTTCAGCAAGCAAGAGTTTTCAGTTAGTGAACTTAAGCCGCAAAAGCATTTACAATGATTAAAGCTAGATCTCAAACGTTTGGCATGGACGCTTTATTAGTTAATAGTAGCTTGCAATTATCTCAGCATTTTTTTAGTTACCTGTAGTGCTGTCTGTCTAAAATGCTGTTTATGTATAATATTCATTTTTCTGCACATTTTTGAAATTCCCACAAATCACTACATCAAGTTATCCATCCATCCATCATCTAAACCGCTTATCCTTCTGGGTCGCGGTGGGGTGCTGGAGCCTATCCCAGCTGTCATCGGGCAGAAGGCAGGATACACCCTGGACAGGTCGCCAGTCCATCGCAGGGCAGACAGACAGACATACACATTCACACACTCACACCTAGGGGCAATTTAGCATGTCCAATCAGCCTGACGCCATGTTTTTGGACTGTGGGAGGAAACCCACGCAGACACGGGGAGAACATGCAAACTCCACACAGAAATGACCCTGGTCACCCAGCCGGGAATCGAACCCAGGCCATTCTTGCTGTGAGGCGACAGCGCTACCCACTGCGCCACCGTGCCGCCCTACATCAAGTTATATTACACAAATTTATAGATTCGAGATATTTATTTTTCAGTCACAGGAAACAAACATTTGGCAGAAAATCATACAAAAGCCTCCAACATGAAGTACAATACCAAATCTATGAGTATTTATTTATTTATTTATTGATTGATTGATTGATTGATTGTGCACCTGCTGTCACTTTAAATCTTCTATCCTTCCAGTCGTAAAACCAGTGAGTTACAGTTGTTCTCCCAACAAAAGCTGTCCCCACTGACATTATGTTCCCCTACAAAGAGACACTAACATTCACACAAGCAACTACCCAAACACACCTCAACTGCCCTGCACGTTTTTCCTCATCTAGGGAAAATGGGATTCCAAACAACCTTGCACCAAAACTGTCACTATCAGATAAACTGTAAAATCAAGCTTCTCTTACTTCAGATCTGAAAAAATTCACAGGTGTTTCTGTCCATCCTTCCACTGTGAGAACACAGTTCAACACCATGGGTCTGAAAGGATGTGTAGCTGTCAAGAAACCCTTACAGAGAAAAGGAAATAGACAAAAAAAGATCAAACAAATCAAACAAAAAGCCACGAATGTTCTTAGAACAGTGTACTGCATTGAATGTGTTTGTATTTTTTGGTTTGGGAGAAGCAGAAAATGCAACCAACCTCTAAGACTGAGCTTTAAAAATGTGAAAAAGTGTCCCTGCAGATTTCTTTGAACAAAGAGTGGACACAGTAAATGCTGAAAAATATGATGTCTTGTTTAATTTATTGGTAAATATACATTTTCTGCCTTTCTTCTGATGCTAAAAAATGAACAATGTGTACTTATAAGGGCAGCACGGTGGCGCAGTGGGTAGCGCTGTCGCCTCACAGCAAGAAGGGCCTGGTTCGATTCCCGGCCGGGTGACCAGGGTCGTTTCTGTGTGGAGTTTGCCTGTTCTCCCCGTGTCTGCGTGGGTTTCCTCCGGGTACTCCGGTTTCCTCCCACAGTCCAAAAACATGCAGTCAGGCCAATTGGACATGCTAAATTGCCCCTAGGTGTGAGTGTGTGTGGATGTATATGTCTGTTTGTCTGCCCTGTGATGGACTGGCGACCTGTCCAGGGTGTATCCTGCCTTCCACCCGATGACAGCTGGGATAGGCTCCAGCACCCCACCGCGACCCAGAAGGATAAGCGGTTTAGATGATGGATGGATGGATGGATGTGTACTTATACTCTCTGTTTATCTAAGGAATAATCTTATTGGACAAACTTGACTGAGCTTGGGTTATCCTTACACACACAACCACATGCACACACACGCATACTGTAATCACACACTGAATCTCACAACACAAATACACAGGATTGAGTTAAAAAGACATTCCTGCCTACTCAGTCTGCACTTACTGTACCCTGGGACACCAGTGCACCCCCCGGCACCGGCACTAACCGTGTTTTACTCACTGTCTCACACACTGACACACTTATGTATGCTTTATCATCACTGTGACGTGCTCTTAGCCTGAGGGTGTGTACACTCAGAATGACCCAGTGATACACACCAGGGACCAGACAACACCTAGAGTAGTGCAGTCAGTCTCAGAATACCACACCAGCAACGAGTGTGTGAGTGTGTCTAGAGAGAGGAATTTTAGATGATCAATAATTCATCATCTGTAAACAGATACTCTGAAATAGTCTTTCTCTCTCTCTCTCTCTCTTTCGCTCTCTTTCTCTCTCACTCACACACACACACACACACTCACAAAGACTGTGTTCATGTGTTCATCGGGTTTGACACTGAAACATAACTCTTCTTACTAGAAGGAGCAGTGTGTGTGTTTGTGTATGTGTATTGCATGTATTTAAGAAACGTAAAGAAAAAACACAAAAAAGTGTGTATAATTGATTATAGTTGTCCTGTCTATATTTCAGACACCCATACATACACCTAAAATCTCACACATATGCAACGTTTACAGCCCAGACCCCACATAGCCTAAATGTATACATCTCAGATTTTCACAGTAAAACAAATCTTTCTTCTTATAATGAGACATGAGAAAACTCCTATTTCGTATTTTAACCTAATCTCAAAATTGAACTGGACCACTGCTTCATGTCACCTTGAAGTTGCTTATAAACTCAGCTTATGCAACATGTCTAGGCTGCCATCTGTTTTGGGGACCATTTTACTGTCACATTTCATGCGTTTTCTGCTCGCAGCTTTGTGGCTGCAACCAGAAGACACTTTAATCAGGCCTGTGGCGCCCTCATGTGTTTGTCTAGTTGAACAACATGGGCCTCAAAATCCGCTACAGGAAAGGAAAACCTTATGTTTACTCAAAAATTAACCTCTTTATGCACCAGGGAGAAATTAATTTGTTCTTTCTGACAATGGTGTGGTGGAGTTTCCAAAATTGACAAAATTGATAATACTACAACCATAAACTTGATTATTTATACATTTGTAAATTTTATTATTTTATTGTGTTTTATTTTTACTGTTTTTATGGTGGTAGTCTGAAGCTAAAACCTAGTGAAAAGTAAAATTACGAAAAAGCTTAGCTAAAGATCTTAAACTGGTAAATTATTAATGGCAGTTTATTGAACTAAGGATACTGTTTACATCTTTGAAGCTGATCATTTATGACCAGACAAAAGAAGAATTATAGCCAAAAGTTTGTGGACATCCGAATATCATGTGACATTGCACTTGGAAGTGAGTGTTGAAACAGAGTACAGACGATTTTTATGTACTTTGTGCTTCAGCACCTGTTAGGTCCCGTTCTGTGAGCTTGTGTGGTTTGCAATTTCATGGCAGAGATGTTGTTGCTCCGAGACATTTCCACTGCACAATAACAGCACTTGCTTGACCAGGGCAGTCCTAGCAGGGCAGAAATTTGATTGACAAGGTGGCATTTTATGACAATGCCGCATTGAGTGTCACTGGGCTCTTCATCATGACCCATTCTACTAATATTTGTCTTTGGAGATAACACGGATGGATGCTTGATTTTAACCATGATTTTAATCACTAACTGAAACAGGTGTCTACGTACTTTACTCATATATTATATTGACCCACCTAACACGAAAATATCTAGTCTCTTTTTGCGCTGGACAGAAAAGGCACTGACTGTAATTCTGTCAACACTGGTGGTGAACTAAGGCAAAAGCCACTTACCAACACGAGGGCAGTAGTATGATTTATTAGGTCCAACTGCAATAGAGTTGCACCCAGCTATCAGTGGTTGCAGCACAAGCTTGGTTAGCCCCTTCCTCACCATAAGCATGCATTATTAACCATATCTTTCACCTGAACATGAATAAATATGCATAACACATTCCATTCCCTATGGCCCCAGAGCCTAAATATGCATAAAGAGCTAATATGCATCTTATTACACATGAATATATTGACCTGTGGGGGCATAATGATGAGTGTAGCTCTTATGAACTCAGTAAAGGTGCTTATTGCTGTAGACATGACCTGCCTTCGCCTGCAGGGTTGTACCCTGGGGGATGATTGAGTGCTGATTTAAAAGACCATAGCTGAATTTGCTGGATGTTGTACAGTATTGTGCAAGCAATCTTCATTTATTTATTTTCCATTAGGTTTTTAGGAGATATTTCTGATGATGAAAAAAGGAAAAAGTGAAGGTTAAAAAGTTCTTACAGTGAAATGGTACGCTTAATAACCATGCAGGACGTGGTAGACCACCAAAACAGTCACCATAAGATAAACAGTATCTAGAGCTATTTGAGAGAAAATAAAGTTCCATTCTTGTTCAAGGATATAGACGAAAAATCAAACAAAGAGGCTGCTGATGTCCTCAGAACAATGAACTGACCTCCCCAGAGCACAGACCTACACATTATTGAATGTAGGATAACTTGGATTGTGAGAAGCAGAAAATGCAACCAACTTATAAGACTGAAACTGTGGAGGTGTGGAAAAATATCGCTGCAGATTTCTTTGAACAACTGAAAGCAAGTCTCCCAAAAAGAATGGAAGACAAACAAAATATTTAAAAAATTATATCACATTAAATTGCTGATGCATCGGCGTAATTTTTTGTTAAAAATAGGTTTTTGCCTGTTTTCCTGATGCTAAAAAATCAGTATTGGCCATTTTGACTGGAAATGAAATAAATAAAGAGCAGTCTCTGACTTCTGCACAGTACTGTTGTTTCTTTATTTCCTTGCCCAATGAAGTAATATTCAGAAACAGTGTTGTTTCTGTATAAGCTCAAATTCTGTATAGCATTTCCTCTCAGTTCTGGTTCTGGAGTTCCCGTGCTGTATGGATTTTGGTGTTTTCTCTGCTCTAACACATCTAATTCAACTAATTATCAAGCTCTTCCTGAGTTGAAGTGGGGCTGTTCACATAAACCAGCATGTTCCTCATCAATTCCAGACAAAAAAGGGATATCTTCCTGTCTAGCTCGCAGACAATGATAATGTACGCATATTTACATTTTTGCACTGCCATTCAAAAGCTTCTGCAGAAAGAAATAATACATGTGAAAACGAAACCAATTTCACAGCTCTATAAACTTTTCATGTCACATATCTAAAACTATTATATGTGTATATAAATGAGCATGATCTGCTACTGGGAAAGGTGATTCTTCTTCAGAATTCTCTTTGTTGACAGGTGGGTTCAACATTAAAAACTCTTACAATCTACCGTTCGGCATGTTCAGCATTCAAATTTTGAATTTGGTGAGAAGTTCATCTATCAGTCAGTGACAGAAGAGAGGCACTTAATCAGGTTTTTACTAGGGCCAGCTCTCCTGTGGCCCCACACCTGTATCCGTTCATGAGGAAACGTATTTTTATGCACTGCCTCAGTTAGGATTTCTGTAGTTGGTCCACACTGATCTGTCCCATTTTCTTGCTGTCAGGTCCTGGCAGTGATGGTGCAGCAAGTCAGTCTCGAGCTAAAATGGCAGCAGCTGCTCGACACAAAGACACCAGCCACAGCGAGCTTTACTATGAGGAGGCTGACCATGAGAGGAGAGTCCGCAAACGCAGAGCACGGTATGACAACAAAATGGAGAGAAGTAGAGTAACAGTCTACACTGTTAAAATCACACATGTTGTACCTTAGATTAATGATTAATAAATAAATCATTTATGAAACTAAATGGAGAAGCGATGGTTTAGTCAAAACTTAATTTACCCAATTTTTCACTAGACTAAATGTAGTTGATCAGCCAAGACATGTTTGGGGTCTGAAGTTTGCTTCTTTAGTTATACACTGAAGCTACATGGCAAAAGTAGCTAACAAGTGATGGAAACTTATATCCCACCAATTAGCATCAGGCAAACTGGACAAGTACTATTTCAGGCTTCAAGATGGTAATTACTACTGATTTTAACTTTGTGCCATACTTTTACTCTTACCTAGTGCTAATTGGTGAGCTAAAAGCTACTACTACTACTACTTGTTAGCTACTTGTTAGCCTTATAGCTCCAGTGCAAAACTAAAGAAACAATCTTCAGACAGCAAACACATCTTGGCCTATTGACTACAGTTGGAAAACAATGTAATTTTGAGTTATCACTTTAAGCCTGTCACTCCTGCTCCCAGGCTGGTGGTGGCTGTAGAGGAGGCGTTCACACATGTGCGACGGCTGCAAGAGGAGGAGAAGAAGAAGCCTCCGGGTGATGTGATGGACCCTCGTGAGGCAGCACAGGCCATTTTCCCCTCGATGGCCCGCGCGCTGCAGAAGTACCTGCGCACCACCCGCCAGCAACACTGCCACAGCATGGACAGCATCCAGAGCCACCTGGCCTTCTGCATCACCAACAACATGACCCCCAAGGTCCACATGACATACACACACAAACACTCCTTGCTCCTTTAAACTCAAAGGCCTGTATATCAGCTAACACTTCAATTGCTACCTCTCATGGCTGCATAACTTACATATTAGTTTCATAGTGAAATGAATAACTAAACAATAAGCATGTAGTTTAAGGGGTTTTTGCTTTGTTGGACTTTGTGCCAGTAGAGGCTTGACAAAGTTGAGAGGTATTTCTTGATTTTAATAGTATCAGAGGGGAACCCCTGGGGCCTTCTTGATCTTCAGAGAAGGCCTAATGACTTCTGTGAAATAAAAAAATACATGTCTCTACTTTTTTGTTCATTTTCAATAATGGTTTCATTTAACCATCATGTTTGTTGTATTTAAACTCTACAATGTAGTTCTACTCTTATTGCATTAAGTTTTGTTTGGAAAGTTTTGTTTCTTCTTGAAACACGCAACAGGAAATTAACAGGATTTAATCAAGATTTGATTAGAAGAATTTTCAGGTTTATCTAGGTAGATACAGCCAAGCTAACTCTCTCATTGATTAAGCCTTCATGAGCTCAACAGAAGGCCTTAAATGTTAGATGAACTACTAGCATAATTAGGAACTGACACTGAAATTAACCTATCAAATTGTCCTATCATTTTGATTTACATTAAGTGGGACTAATATTGGGCAGATTTGAGAGGTAGCCTAACCTGATTTGAGTTCTTATGTTGTTAATGTTAATGTGTTAATGTTGGCTGCAAGCCTCTAATAAAACATCACTGCTTCAGATGTCAGTGTTTAATCTAGAAAGGCCAAAAAAATGATGAGGCGAAATGTATTTAGCTTGGTGCTAACATAGTTCTATGTCCTGAACTGAAGGCCTATCTCTAGTTATAGTTATACACAGTGTAGTATATCAGTACATTACATGAAAAAACATATCTGATCTATCCCAACATGTGACCCTGTGACCTTAAAATGCCATTAATTTAAACCTGAGAATGCACTTTAAATTGTATTGTCTCCTGTCAGTAAACAGAGTTGTATTTTTTTTTTGTCTCAGGCGTTTCTGGAGAGTTATCTGACCCCAGGGCCAACCCTGCAGTATGGGAAGGAGTGCTGGCAGGCCCTGCAGTGGATGCTGGTCAGCGAGGCTGCGGTCACCAGCCCCCTGAGGGATGGCACTGAGTTCCAACTGAAAAACCCTGACTTCAGCCTGGTGGTCAGCAGCAAGGCCATCCCTCACCTCAAAATTAGCGAGGAGTATGTCCACCCCAAATCACACAAATTCGTCCTGCTGCTGCAGTCGGAGACGTCCGTCTGACTCTCTGCTCCATCCGTTTACATTTCTACACAATAAACTTTGGAACGGGGATTTTTCTGTTTTTAATAAGTTTCCCCTACTTTTTTTCACTTTTTCACTTTTTACAAATTACATTTTACATATCAGACATATTTTGATACGCAACAGTGTCTTTTTTTGTGAAACTGGATTGTGAAAAACAGTTAATGTATAAGAAAGATATGCCTAGTATTTGCAAGTGGGAGGGTGTATATGTGCGGTGTCAGTGTGTGAGTGTTTGTGAGAGTTGCGCAGTGTTTAAGAAAAAAACAACAAGCTTACTGTATATTAAGAGTGAGGGGTCAAACTAGTGTTAAGATGAACTTATTATAAATAGGAAGTGTTGTGTTACATGCCACTTAAAATGCCTGCCGATCAAAGAAAAATACATTTGAGACTGATATTAAAGGAATATTACTGAATTTTTTAACCTAATCTGTCTGGCGCATCTGTATCGTACCATCATTTTCCACAGACAGTCATTTTAATGGGTTGTCTTGTTCTTATAAAAGTTTGGAAAACATGTTGATTTGAAATTCACTTACAATTGGGCGTTTGCTCATTTCTGTGAAAAGATTGAACACCCGAGCAACTCTGTCTTTTTCCCTAACATTTTCTGGTGTAATTAAGCACAGCCTTTGGAAACTCCACCCAGAAATAGTTCCTTGTGGTAAATTTGTCATCTCCCTAAAAGAACAAACTATACAGATTTACAGCAGAATTTATACAACAGTGTTTATTATTTCTCATAAACATTTCCTGATGGTATTACACAAGGGCAGTGGCCTCTTTCAGCAGGACAATGTGCCGTCCCACACTGCACACATTGTTCAGGAATGGTTTGAGGAACATGACAAAAAGCTCAAGGTGTCTGACCATCACTTGTGGGACGTGCTAGATGGTGCCAGATACTACAGGGTACCTTCAGAGGTATTGTAGAGTCCATGCCTTGGCAGGTCAGAGCTGTTTCGGCAGCATGTGCAGGACCAACAGCCTATTAGACATGTCATAATGTTTTGGCTCATTGTTGTAGAGATGTTTTCCAAAGTTGTGCATTCTATGGGATAAATTTCTTTTTGTAGAGTTTCTTTGAATAGCTTTCTAGATTTGAATAGATTTCTGCACACTGTATGTTGTCCCACGTTGTCATCGTGCACCACATCCTCATTTCTGTGATATAATCACTGTAGGAAAACAACAAAGTACGAAAATACAAGCCTAAACTTCCTGATAAACCGTGTCCTTCAGCAGTTTTTGCCATTTACAGGGCTGAAAACGTTCACCAAAAGTGTTCATGAAAGTAATCATATTCATGAAACTAATCATATTTACCATACTTTTTGCTCACGAAGACTGTGTCAGCTGTGGCATTTTGATTTTATTTTGTACTGCTTGTTTTGCTTTTACCATGTCCTCTGCTGCTGCCCTTTAGTCTCTTTACATTTGTGGTAAAATTGAATCGCTTTTCCTGTGAACATGCAGGCCATCAACTCCTTGCAATTTTTATAACAATATGCTTTTTTTTTGTAAATTAGGGGTTTGTCAAGCCACTAAACAGTGATGTTATGTTTTGTATTTTTTTTACATTAATATTTGGATGTGTAAATACGTTTATGTATATATTTAATTTATGAGTTCATGTACAAACATTTTGTATACCTCTTTTTTATATTTTGTGTGTATATATTTATATGATAGTATTAATTCGTTTTTTCTATGTTAATGTAGGCCTATTTCTTGTATTTTTCTTTGAAGTCATTAATATGAAGTCCCCTACAATGACATCTCCTGTCTGTATATGCATTCACTGAAAAGTTCTGAAAAGAATTCAGTTCTAATAAATTGTATATCAAAAATTCATTGAACTTGTGGTTTTAGACATTATTGTCTTCTCTCAAGTGTGTATTTACTGAGTGAGGGAACAGTTACCAAAGACATTTATCAGTTTCTGGACTCTAGTCTGGAGTTTGTGAGTTTGGTTTTCTGTAGCTGAGCAGGTGCACATAAGCCTAAGATTACCAGGCGCAATGCCTAGCGTCGGCTGGAGTGCTGTATAACATGCTGCCACTGGACTCTGTAGTGAAGAATAGCACTTTACTGTCTAGCAAATCTGGGGATGCCAAGAAAATGCTACCTACTGAATGCAAAGTGTCTGAGATCAAGTTTGGTGGAGGAGGGATAATGGTCTGGGGCTTTTTTCAGGGTTTGGGCCCAGCCTCTTAATTCTAGTGAAGGGTGAAGGAAGATAATGTGCTGTGTTGTGTGTGTGTGTGTTTTGAAGTTGTATTTTAGGTTGCCTATTGTTGTCTTTCTCCTTATATGGTCATGTTGTCACACCTGTTACTTGTCCTGTATACGCTGGGTCTAATCTTGGCATCAGTCCAGCTATAAAAGTGTGACAGCCCATTGTATAGGGGGGCTGGCTGGGTGTCTGGAACCTGCGCGTGCAACAAATAAACTTCACCTGTCCAGACAACAGATCGAGTCTCCCGGGTTTGGATTCTATCAAGGGTAATGATAATGCTACAGCATACAAACGCACTTTAGACAATTATACGTTCCTTTGTGGCAACAGTTTGGGGCCCTTGGTCCTTTTCTGTTCCAGCATGACTGTGTCCCTGTGCACAAAACGAAGTCCATGATGACATTGTTTGACGAATTTGGTGTGGAGGAACTCCAATGGCCTGCACAGAGCCCTGACCTCAACCACACTGAATACCTTTGGGTTGAATTGAAATGTTGATTTAGAGCCAGGCCTGCTCTTTCAACTGAATGAGCACAAATTCTCAGATACACTTCAAAAATTTTGTGGAAAGCCTTCCCAGAATGAAGGGTGTTATAGCTGTGAAGAGGGGGTAACTATAAATACCCATAGATTTGGAATGGATTTGGAATGTCCAACAAGCTCTTCTAGGTGTGATTGTGTCCACAAACATTCATAAAAAGTTTTTTTCTGAAATTTGTTCTTGAAAAAGGTCCTAAGAAAAGGTCTGTGCCAGATTCATGATGTGTTCTTAAACTGTAGAACTGTTCTCACCTTTATGCTTTTGAGTGTGTGTAGATTCTGTTCTTACCTAAGAACAAATCACAAATAAGACAACATTGGTAAATGCCAGAATCTTCATGAAAACTGCATGAGTTGGTTTTTAGAAGAATTTTCTTCTTGGGAATGGTTGGTCAATAAGGCCTATTGTTATTTCACTAGAAAAAGTGTTGTGGCAACCCAGTGTCATAAAAAAACAGTCACAAAACAGATGTGTTATGTCAACTTGATGCATGGACAGAAAGGTCAGGGTGCTGGACATACTGAGACATTGTAACTGTTTTGCAAATGACTGGCCACATTAACCAAACAGTACAGAATCTGACTCATTAAGAATTTCAGGAGTTCTGTGAAGACAAAATATGTTCTGTAGTCTTTTTGCCAAAGGTATTATAGCATTACTCCTGAAAGCAGTGATCATGTAGTCTACAATGCTTAAGATTGCCTAATCATTATGAACTCAACAATGGCCATAAAAACATCTTGGTATGGAAAACGTAGCAGATATATCAAATACCACATGAACTCCTCTTTCAGTTCCAAAAGATTTTTGAATTGCCGACTGGCATACAAAAACATTTGATGTAATACAGTTGTTTGCAAAAGTTTAAGCACCCTGGTCAAATGAAATGTTTTGTTATTTTCACTCAAATCAACAAAAACGTAATTTGACAGGATGCATTTGCATTCCACTATATAATGTGGCATGTCTCATGAAAAAAGAAATTCTGAAAAGAATTCTGAAATATACTGTTTAATTTGAAATACTTTCCACAATGTTCATACAGGTTGATTGAGTAGAGTGTAAAACAAAATAGGGCTGTCTGTGTAAAACAAAATAGGGCTGTCTGTGGTTTTATCAGTTCTGTAGCATTTAATAGTGTGAAAGTTCATCATTTGTCAGAGATGATGTACAAAAAAACGTCCAAAGTGATTTTAGCTTGAAAGAGCTCTTTCGGGATCCTAGATGTTGCTGAGCCTTTGAGAGCCAGTAAACTCCTTTGAAGGTTTAGTTGCCAAATACTCTGAATTACTCATCGTCGTCGTCGTCATCGTCGTCGTCATCATCATCATCATCGTCGTCGTTGTCGTCATTGTCATCATTGCCATTATCATCGTCGTCGTCATCATCATCATCATCATCATCATCGTCATCATCATCATCATCCTCAGTGTTGACCTTTCCCGAGAGCACATCCTCTATCCAGTCCTCCAGCTCCTCAGCAGAGGGCAAATCCTCATCATCATCCATCTCCAGCCACACGCTGTCCGCCTGCCAAAAGATCAGTGAGAGGTTAAAGTCAAAGTTCACATCCTACCACAATCAATTTATGGACACTGGTCACTTTCCATTCATCCAGTTATACGAAAAACATGACTGTAAATACACTAGAGAGCGAGTCCTCAGTGAATGAGGGGGTGTATGGAACTAACCGGCTAAAAGCAAAAAGTTAAACATGTTTCTAACTGTTAATCCAGTTTCTTCCAGTAGAAGAATGTATTTCATGTACAAATGAAAGAAAACTTACCAGTATCTTTCTGTTTTTCTACAGCAAACCGTGTTTTTTTTTGCCAGTAATGAACTGTTTGGTTAATGTGCATATGAACAGCTATGGTTACAAATTTGAGTTTGCACCTCAAATTTGTTTGTTAAATATTTAACATTTCTCAATATCATTTACATATAAAGCCACTATACCATTTCTAATTCTGTGAAAATCAAATACTGATCTTATAAACATTAGCAATATTGGCTCATACAAGTGCTGTGGTCCATGATCCTAAACACCTGCTAAATACTTTGGCAGATTAAAATACAAACCAACATATTACAGACCATTAACGACTATCACTCAATGCTAAATAGCCTTTAGCCAGAAGATTGAGGTTGTGCCTGTTGTAAAGTTATAGTGTGGACTACTGTGTTAGTTGATATATTAGATGTCTATAGCGTTAGATAGGCACTTACATCTGTGACGTTGACTATTCCGATCTGAGGCCTGAAGAGGTCAACCTTAAAGGTCTTCTCCCAGTAAGGAATTAGCTGAGGGAGGAAAAGGGAAATGAAACAAAATAGAAAAAAAAAAATACACTTCAGTTACAAATATCATAGAACTGCTTAATGAGTAAGCAGCCATGTTCCTATTCAGGTACTCACCAGAGGGAAGTCATCAGGATCAATCCAGACAATACTCAGCTCAGGGTTCTCAGTGTTGTCCCTGGCAACGTCTTTGAGAATCTCTAAAAACTCAAAGCCATCTGAAAGCAACAGAGAAAATTTAGGCATTAAAAAACTCAAACCTGAAGTGAAATTACTAAAAATGAAAGCTTTAATGTACCTGGATCCTCCTCTTCAGCAAAAGCAACAATGTGAATCCCATTCAGGTCATCCTCCTGGAGAACACAAGGTAACAGTCATTTTACTGAGCATCAGTCAGTTATAAAACATGAGTATGAGTGTTTACACTGTAAACGTTAATGTGAAATGTAATGTCAATACCCAATTTTGAAAAAAAGGTTGAATGCATGTAAATAAACGATATACATACTGTATTTTAACACTATAGTAAAATACTGTATGTCAGAATTGAACTAGTGAATCTGTTAAAAGGCAGTAAAAGGCATTTCTAAAGAAATGACTAATTTTACAGATTTTTACTATTATTGAGAAAACATACTTTTGCTGACAGATTTTTAAAAAGTTTTTTACAGATTTTTTACAGTGCACAAATAACTATAAGAAGGACTCATTCCATGGCATTGTACAGTATACCATTACCATACCAGCTCCAATCTAGGATCTTGTGAACACAGATGCCTTTACATCAATGGGTTAAAAATGTTTTTAACTATTTGCTTCACTTGTATTCCTGGCCAGATCTGCCATCAGGGTGAACACCCTGGGCCCTGCATGACAAAGAGCCTTTAGCATATGCCAAAAAAAACATAAGTCAGGAATCATAAACTACAAATTAGGAAAACTTGTTAATTTTTTAAAAAAAATTAAATTATTTAAAATCCTTTTTAAAAAGGCAAAAAGTGCCAGACCAACCCAAAAGTTAACAAAAAATATGTTTTTTGTGAATTTACACTCCTAGTCTGTAAGAAAAAAAATATATTAAATTTACAGTATTTGCCAATGACAATATTCTTTTTTTTAAAACATAAAGCCATGTCTAGGTTTTACCTGCGCATGGGCTTTTTGTGAGCTTTTTGACAGACTGCACGTGGGCCCCAGTTATGCTGCAGGTGTGGACCCAGTTGGGTTACAGTTGTGGGCCCCAGTCAAATTGCTCATTCATGTGTGAGTCCTGGGAGTTGTTTTTTAATCATTGCTTGCATTTATTTCCATTAATATACAGATGTGTCAGCCTCTGTCAGCCAATTATTTGAGACTTATCATGCTTGAAAGTGAATAAATTGAGAAAGGGATGTATCTTAACCAGCTCAAGAGGGATGCCAAAGAATGCAGCAGGGCTCTTTCTCATCTCTCCAATATTGCTCTGATTTCACTGCATCCATGAGTGTAACTCATGCTAAGTTCCTCAAGTCAGCTACCAAAACACTCATGCTCAAGTTCTTGTTTGGTTAAACTTCATCTCGTCATCATCTGCTGCCAATGCTGTAATAAATTACTCTTCTTTTATCAAAGATACATGTCTCCTCATGTCAATTGTTAGAAAGAACAACACTGAGTGTTAGAAAGAAACTCACTGGGTGAGTTTTAATTTATTTATGAAATTGTATCTGAAATATATATTGCTAGGAAAGTACAAAAATAATTGGTGGAACATTTCAATCATTCTTACCCAAGTTTCAAACATGTCCTCAGCCCTCAGTTTTCTCAGTGTTGGTCTATAGTGATAAAACACAATACAAGAGAAGATCAGTATCTGTATCTGGACTTTTTGGCATGATCATACTTCTTTATTTACCAGGAATTTAGACCATCAATTCTTTGTATATCCACCCATCCACTTATAAAAGTCACCTCCTATGTTCAGTGATAAAAGCCACAAGCTCCTCCTCAGTATGGGGCTTGTCTGGAATAGTGACTGGTTCCTCCATGAAGGGCTCGTAGAAGTCTACCTCATTCATCTTCAGTGTTAGCTCCTTAGCAACCTGAAACATCACACAGCAAGATATTAAGAACATAGAAGACCTGATACAGCACCTCTTTATATGTTGGACACATGTTGTTATTTCTTTTCCACAGTCAGAAATGCTTTCATTTATATGTCATCCTATACAAATATTGCTATCACTACATCTGAACTTCTCAAAACCAACAGTTTTTCATATAACTCTATTTGAAATGTCAACATTCATATACATTAGAGAAGGTGTGAGGTGGCCTTTACCAAAATGGTACCATGACCTTACAATGGAGAAAAAATCAACCACTATTTAGGCATTTATAAGGGGAGTCAGTGTTCAATAATTGGAAAGTCATTATATTACACAATTGGTCCACTAATCTGGAATGGCTTTTATACCCTTAACTCTCACAAACATCAAGTTTAGACTTCTAAGCCTCAGTCCTGTAACTTAATGATAACCAAAAATCAATAAGATGTAGACAAAGAAGCTTAAGGGTTTATCCAGGTTGGAAACAGCATTTGCTCTACACCCTCACTGTATGATACAGCACTTACAGATTTATCAAAGGTGGCAAAAAATTTGATGAAAGGCTGAAACTGCTCAGCTGCTTCCTGGAAAGCCAGAAAATCTGAGAAGAGAAGAGTTGAGAAGAGAAGAGATACAGTTCAGGATTCAATACATTTAAGATCCACTCAAGTTCTAAGAAAAGAATTTAAATAGAAATTCACTATATCATTGTTGTCGCATAAAATCCTTATTTTTCCATTTCCATTTCCATAGAAATGGTCCAAACTTAACTTCCGTTAACATCTATTAGAAATTAAGAACCTCCTCCTCTAAAGTTACCATTTTGGAGACAGCAGCAATATATTGCCTACAGTCTTCAACCATGTTTTTTCATTAACTGGTGAATGAAGCTAGGCAGAAAGCTGCAAATCTTCAGCTGTTTAAACTGAGGATTTCTCAAAGGTTGTATGATGTCTTTGCATGTTTTGCATATTTGCATGATGAATGCTGGGTATGGTTGTGAGAGACCACTGATGAAAGATAACATAAAACTGTGAATTCTGTCAAACAGATAAGACTGAGGGATGTAATGCTGTGCTACAGAATACTGCATGACACAACAAATAAAACATGAAACATATTAAAAGAGTTTTAGGCCAGAATGCCCTTTTAACTTAGTCTTTACCTTCTTTGGGATTTGTGAGGAAGCCTGACACTGCATGTGTAAGAATGAGAAGGAGCTCAGATGTGACATATCGCTGCTGTCAGAAGAAAACCTTATATCTCCATATTTTTTTCAGTTTCTGACAAGTTTTGAAAGTGCCTGTTGCCCTTTATATTGTGTGTAAATTTCATGATGAATGGACAAAAAGAAACGGCCCAAAATGACCTGGAAAAAAACCTGGTTCCATTGGCTTACATTAAAAGTAAAGTATGTTTTTTCCCTTTTCCTGTAAAGTTCTCATTTTGGAGATACAAGGTTTTTTTCCAACAACAGTGATATCATACATTTTTTTCTATTCTGAATGACCTGTAATGTGCCTCATTCAAAAAGCAATCCAGGCTGAAACACTCCTTATAACAGTTTGAGTGGGCAGCGCTAAACTCCTATAGTCTGAACAAGCGAATTTATGTAAATAAGTTGTTTTTTGTGACATTATGAAAACAATGAGTTCTAAACAGGCAGCCTAATTTTCACTTTATGGATGGAAAGTGAATGGTGCAGCTTAAAACACAAATAATGTTTACATACTACATCAAAATCTTATTTTAAAAATAGGTGCAGGGTAGTTCTGTTAACCATGATGGGCCCTACAATGTAAGGGCTGACAGTTAAACAGGGAGTAGATTTAAACAGTTGACCTCTGAACCCTGCTCCTTTGCTCATTTGTCCAAACATGTCAAATGGAAACAGCACCATTTATATCTCCTACTTTCTAAAATTTGGGAAAATAGTCTTGCCTTTAAGCAATATGGAATGATTTCTGCATACTTTCACCACCAGTTATAGTCTGCATGAAACCTCTTTATCACATTATACGCTTATAGCCCAGTTCACTTGTTATAATGGCTTCTACACAAACCCGCTTGCACACACTCACATTCTGATTCTTGACTTTTGAAGTAGCCAACGAGTCTGATGTCCTCTTCCATGCGGTCAAAGGCTTGTAGCTCCAGAGCATTATCAAGTACCTCAACTGGATCCTCCAACAGCTACAAAGAAAACAGATTATACTATAGATTATTTTCACTCCAGATAGCACATTGGCATACTAATAAAATGGGACAGTATATGGGAAAAAAAACAATAACTAAGAAAGTAAATCCTTACATCCAGCAGGAACTCCACAAGCGTGTCTGCAGAAAGTAGCCCATCAAACTCAATTACACGCTCATCCTTAAAAACATACACGCTGCCCTCCTCATGTAGACCTGAAATACATGTTACTATTAGCTGGCACTGCCACTTCATACACAACATGGCAGAGTTTATATGCAGCAGAAGCAACTTTCTGGTATTTTATTAAGCTCAGAAAAAACATACTGAAATTACTGTGTGTGGTCATCAACCAAACAGTGAAGAAGAGTATTGAAGAGGATTGCTTTAAATGAGACTTCTTAACCACTGTAATGCCTTACAAACATTTTCATCCATGAATTACAGTGCATGATGCTCTCTCTTAAAAGTTCTTACCAAGTTTCTTTGCAACTTTGGCATCCTTCTCAGAGTCTACCATCCCAAAGCCAATGTCCTTCTCTTCCAGAACTTGAGCAGCCAACTACAAATGAATATATCAGGAAAATATTATTTAGAAATTTTGTTTAACCCCACCCAGAAGGATAAGCGGTTTAGAATGATTCATATTAGATGATGAGTAGAACTTACGAAGGCCAGTAAAAAAAACATGACACAGGAGAAGCTCATGTACCCTATAAGCAATTTTGCAATTATTTGTTTGCAAGTACTTACAAACTCCTATGCAGTAAACACACACTTTCTATATTCTATGTGCTTGAAAACTAAAATATGACAAAATATATCACGGAGAAGTATTTTTAGTAAATAAGAGTTTAATGTATTTGTAAACATTTCTAAACAAACCATTCACTCCCACAGTCTATATATGGAAATTAAGCTGATTCTTTTTTAATTAGGAACTCTTTTTGTACCATCAAAAAAACCAACACGTTTATATAAATCCATCTATTTAGACTACAGCAGTTTAGCCCCGCCCATTCTTGTTGAAATTATAAGGAGTGTTGCAGTCCAGAGTATGACGCAATAGAGGGCAGCCAGTCAGAACAGAGGTCATTTACATTTCTATCTTGAAGGCACAGTAAGTACCAAAAACAGCTCAATTAGGGAATAGAGTAATAGAATAAGAAGTCATAGGTACAGTCTCTACCGTCAGAAACATCTTTAGATGGCTATTCAGAGGGTCCTAAGAATAAAATCAAGTGTCCATTACAGTGTCTGACTGAAATACCAATTAAGAATAGAAGAGAACCATGTATGTACACCATTCTGTAGGTCGAAGACAAATGACTTTGAAAGGTCATAGACTGACTGATGGATGTAATTGACAACTAGAGTTATCTTGCAGGCTCAGCAGAACTGTATCTAACTCTACTTAGCTCCCACACACAGTTAAAAACACAGTTGTCCCCAGGCAGTTACCTCATGGGTAACATTCAGGCCATGTGAAATAAGTTTGAAAATAATGTAGCATCCAGTGAATTGATTACATGAATATATAGGTGTAGGTACAGCATGCTAACACTGTAGATGCAGTTTTGGTGTTGCATGAAAAAGTTGTTGAGTGCTAAAATGGGAATCTATGTAAACTGAAACTGAAAACTATTTAAACCCTAAAAATCTCATCAATAAGATTTAAGTGTATTCAGCCTGGAGAATGGAGGCTTTTATAATATCTAATGCAGTAAAAGAGCAAAGCATATAGTGTCTAGATTGCCTTGGGATTGTATAGAGTGAGTTCTTGTGTTAATGAATGTAACGAATGAAGGCTTAGAGCTGTAACGACTGGACTGAGTGCATACTATTTCCACAGTGGATGAGATGCTTTATTACTGGAAATTGAACACAAGCCTACAGCACTAGACCATTAATAATGACCTTCACACACACACAGAAACACATTCATATATTCAGCTTACACCTACACTTCTGATTACAAATCCAAAGACGCTGCTAAATCTTGTTTCACTGAAATTATTTTGTCAAGCACTTAGAACATCAGTGTCCAATGTTTTCCGTAAAGAGCCACTGCAGGTTTTCATTCCAACCAATCAGAAGATCAACTGATTTCTACGTGTTTAATCAGTTGGTCTTAGCTTTCAAAAACTTGCTGTTGGAATGAAAACCAGCAGCCACATCGGCTGGACTGGACATCCCTGAATTATTAATAACATGAAATTACATTAGAGACTCTGTAGAGTCCTCTGAGCTTTAACCATATTGTAGCTGTCATAACAAAACCTCATATCTCTAAGACTAACTTGACAGAAGGGAAAAAATTCCCTAACTTCAAAGTAGGGTTCTTTAAGCAATGATGTACAAGCGCCATGTTTTTAGTGTAAAGGACCTTTAAAAACTTTAATGAATCTTCACCTAATGTAAAGGTTAACAAAAGAACCCTTAAATTGGTATAAAAACTTTACATTATGTGAAGGTTCTTTAAACTTTAAAATGTTCTTCACACATCTCATTTGCAACAAAAGCGTTTTAGAGTGTTGTCAAAGTGTAAAGAACTTTTTAAAGTTCACATAATGTAAAGGTTCTACACCAACATGGCACTCTAAAGAAGGTGCATGGTAGAGCTTTTTTTTGTAAAATGGTTCTTCATTTTGCAAAAGTGATTGAAAGGTAAAATGATTCTAAAAAATGTGACAGAACAAATTATATGCCTAATTATTTCTGATGGTAATTACTGATGATGATAATATAGTGCTGATTCTCTCTCTCTCTCTCTCTCTCTCGCTCTCTCTCTCTCTCACCTCCAGCACCAGCTCAGTCATTTGGAACTGTTTCTCCAGCTCTTTGCTGGTCGGTGCAGGTGCGTGGTAGAGCAGGCACAGCATGCGGTGGCTCTTCAGCGCTTTGCGGTAGTTCTTGCCATCAATGTCCAGCACGCGGTCCTTGCCATCATAGCGGGGGAACTCCAGGCCTTTCTCTGCGCAGGCCAGGGCCGCCAAACTTACACAAACCAGTGCAAAGAACCAGGAGGTCCTCATGGCTCCCACCACTGACACAAACACACTACCAAAGCTTACACACACTCAAACCTGTCTCCAGCCACCCTTTTTGGAGCCCTGGCCAAAATCCTCCAAAACGTAAGCAAAGAGATCAAAAGAGTATAATTCAGCAGGACAAATGGTTGGATCGGGCTGTCTCCATGCACTTTTCCAATGGAAAGATCTCTCTCTCCTTTCAGCCCCAGTTTGTGTCTCTTGTCCCTTTTCTCTTGCTACTTGTTGGAGACAAAGCCCAGGACTAGTGGAGGGTTAGGATGAGGGAGAGAGGGGGGATACCTTACATAGCAGTGGCCTTCTGTCTGTCTCTGTGGGCCTTTTTTAGGATCCCAGTTGTTTCAGGGCTAAAAATACTCTGGTTGAACAGCAAGGGTGCAGGAACACTGTAGAGGACTGAACAAATGCCTGTACAAATGATATTTTATCATTAGGGAACAAGAGGTAGTTTGATATAGCAACATTCACAGTGTCCCGGGTTTGAATGTTCCATATAGTATTACTGGAAAGTGCACACAGTTCTAGGAGGAAGTTGTTCAAAACATCTTGGGTGTGTAAAAAACGAGACAAGAACAGAAGTAACTGACCTTGTATGGACCAACAACAGCCTTTCCAAAACACTACACATACCAGGTTTGGTTTTAAAACTGAAAAAGTAAAGCCATTTCATTTTTGTTAGTGACACTAAAGTAAAAAATAAATTTAACGTGCCCTTTTTAATGAGCTTTAAATGCTAAATATGCAGCTGTTCAAAACCTGTGTACAACTTAAAACTGTCCCTGGAGGGCACACAGTCTAATTGCATCCATCATTTTATATAGTTGCATAGTTTTTGTATACTACTACTACTACTACTACTAATAATAATAATAATAACAATAATACTTTTACAGATGAGCTAAATTTGATCATGAACAAAGTGTTTGAATTAGTGTAATTATTGGGCCATGTATTAGGAATAGGTCTGTTCTTGGTTCTTGCAACAAGAAAAAGGAACTTGAGCATAATTTGTATAATTACAATCATGCAGAGTAATGCAATATTAGAATAACTTTTTCTGTGATGGTATTTCCATATACCGAAAAAAATCCTGATATGGACCGTTCCAAAAGTGCCTGCACAAAATGCCCTTCTGAAACACTTCAGCCCCTGCCCTCACCAAAGCCTCTGCACACCACTGTGCACGCACACACACATACACACACACGCACGTACATTTGTTTTAATACAATGTCAGGACCTGGAATCATACATATGCCCCAATTCAAAGAAAAGTGTTCGATATATATGTACCGCATCAACAAGTCTGCATGATAGGATCTGGATAAGGTTTGAGAGAAGTCTTGGGGACACATTTACAGAAAAGATTTGGGTAACTATTGACATCTAGAGTTCGTTAACATTAGCCTCATAGCTCCAGTGTTAAATTAAAGAAGAAAAGTTTGGTCACTAAACATGCATCGGCAAACTGACTATATCTGGGGTAAATGGAAAATTGTAGGATTGATTTTTAATCAAATTTGTAGATTTAGAGTTTGGCTTAGAAAACTCTTCTTTAATTTGGGGCATAGACATGAACCCATTTCCTGACATTGCATTAAAACCAACCTGTGTGTGTGTGTGTGTGTGTCTTTATGTACCCAAGCATACTGTACTGTAACCAGACACTTATGTACTGGAAGGGGGCAAGGAGGGGGCACTGTGGCTTTTGGCTTAGCATTATTTTAACAGAATCATGTATACAGGAAAACATCCATATTTTACATATTTAAACTCTCACTGCCAAAGCTGAAAAATCATTAGCAGTTTGTCATTTCTAGCAGTGGATTCCTTTAAAGGTGCGTGTGATGTAGTCCTGAGTGGAATATCACAATCAGACCAGCTTTGTTCATGCATGTGTGTCCGTGTAGACAGACAAAGCAATCCTGTGAGCTCTCTATAAATAGCCATTTCCACAGGACAACTGGCCAATTAGCTCCTTAACTGGGAGGCGTAAATGGAGGAGGCACAGATACAGTTATTCCACCAGCAGCCTGCTGTCCTGACCCCGGCCTATGACCTTCTGAGCCCAGAGAAACCTGGAGCCCTGCCTCTTGCAGGCAGACAGCTGCTACTTAATAAAGTATTATTGTACCAGCATAGAGACTCTGTAGTTCTGCTGTGGGGTTTATTCATTATACTGACAAGTTCAGTGTTGTCATTTCCTGACATCACTACTACTGATTTGTGAAGAGTAAAGAAAGGATTATTTAATGTGATGTGTTACACCATAAAGATGGTTCATCACTTTAACCTTAAAAATGATTCAACACAAATAAATACAACCCCATTTCCAAAAAAGTTGGGACACTGTGCAAAATATAAATGACAGGAAAATGCAATGATGTGCAAATCATATTTATTTGATAGTACAGACACAACATATCAAGTGATAAAACTGAGAAATTTCATTGTTTTTTGAAAAACATATGTCCATTTTGAATTTGATGTCAGCAACATGTTCCAAAAAAGTTGGGACGGCATCATGTTTACCACTGTGTTTCATCACCTCTTCTTTTAACAACACTCTGTAAGCATTTGGGAACTGAGGAGACTGACTGCTGTGGTTTTGAAAGTGAAGTTTTCACATTCTTACTGGATTTCATCTGCTCAACAGTCTCTTTTGCTGTATTTCTCGTTTCATAAAGTGCCATATGTTTTCAGTGGGTGACAGATCTGGACTGTAGGCAGGCCAGTTTAGCACCCAGACTCTTTTAATATGGAGCCATGCTGTTGTAACAAGTGCAGAAAGTGGTTTGGCATTTTCTTGCTGAAATAAGCAAGGCCTCCCCTGAGCATATGTTGCCAAAACATATATATCATTCAGCATTAATGATGCCTTCACAGATGTGCATGTCACCCATGCCATGTGCACTAATGCACCCCTATACCATCATGAATACTGCCTTTTGAACTGTGTGCTGATAACAAGCTGAATGGTCTTTAGCCCGGAGGACACTGTGTCCACGATTTCCAAAAAGAATTTAAAATTTTGGTTAACTGGACCACAGGACACTTTTCCACTTCCCCTCAGTCCATTTTAAATGAGCTCAGGCCCAGAGAAGGTGGCATCATTTCTTCTTTGTGTTTTACAGTTTTAACTTGCATTTAAGGATGCAGTAATGAACTGTGTTCATAGACAGTGGTTTTTGGAAGAGTTTCTGAGGCCATGCAGTGATTTCCTCTACAGAATCATGTCCTGTTGCTGAGGGCCTGAAGATCATGGCCAGCAAATACTGGTTTTCAGCCTTGTCTCTTGCATACAGTGATTTCGCCAGATTCTCTGAATCTTTTAATGTTATTATGTGCTAAAGATGATGAAATGCAAAGGTTCTTTGCTATTTCATGGTGAGAAACGTTATTCTTGAATTGTTGCACTATTTGCCCACAAAGTCTTTGACAGAGTGGTCAACCCCTCCCCATCTCTACTTCGGAAAGACTCGGGCTCTCTCGGATGCTCTCTTTATACCCAATCTTGTTACTGACCTGTTGTCAATCAGCCACCAGGTGTTTTTTAGCATTACACAACTTTACCAGTCTTTTGTTGCCCCCGTCCCAACTTTTTTGGAACGTGCTGCTGCCATCAAATTCAAAATGCAAATATTTTTCAAAAAACTAATAAACTTTCTCAGTTGTAACATATGTTGGCTTTGTACTATTTTCATATAAATATAGGGTTTAAATGATTTGCCTATCATTGCATTTTGTTTTCATTTACATTTTGCACAGCATCCCAACTTTTTTGGAAATGGGGTTGTACTTCAAATGATACTATACAAAGTGCAGCTTCTTACTGGTTCACATTAGGGCTGGGCAATATGGCAAAAAAGAAACTGTATTGCTACACTTAAAAAATACAATCATAAACTATGAGTGGAGTGTAAAGGATGACTTCATTTATTTTCACTTAGAAAATCAACAAAATATGTGATGCAACTTGGGGTGTCCAAACTTTTGCATATAGCTGTATCCTCATAAAGCTGGCCCCTAGTTCACACCTAAAAATGAAGTTTCCATCTGAATTATATGGAGATGGATACATATGAATGATGTGCTTTACTGTTATTGCTTTTAGCTTTTTAACTCTTCAGTTAAATGAACATAAACAGTAGTCCTGACAAATACCTCTGGAGTTATTTGGAGCTTAAGACACAGAGGAAACATGATACCCATGCTTCTTATTGCTGCCTGACTACTAGCAATGTGTCTATTTGAAGGAATGGCTTTGGTGGAAAAACTGAACTGATTCACCACCTCAAAAGATTCTTCTCTTCAGTCTCTGTTTGTTGGTTGGCTTTTAAATTACGAGCAACAACAACCAGAGAGAACAGAGCTAAAAACATCACCCTTAAAACCTCAGATAATATATTTATTCTCCAGGTAATAGTTTGTACTACAATAGTATAATAGTATAGTATACTATCAAATCATATTGCACACCACAGTGTGGATGTTTGTGGGAATGTTTATATTTAATTTTTATTTCTATCTATTTTTTTCTTTTCTGTGTTGCAATTTAATACGTTAGTTATATGCATTTGTGCCTGACCTAAAATATTAGAGTAATTAAAAATCAAACAGCTACAATCTGTCTTACATTCTGTATTGTAAACTTAGTGTTCAATGTACTCAGAAATTTAAGTCTGTTTAAAGTAACAAATCTTTTTTCACAGTATATTTATATAAGTAGTTTATCTAACTAGATGCAGTACTAAAGAATGAGTTAGAAGAACCTTTAACTAAACTAAGTAATTTGAGTTAAGTGAAATCTATTGCCTTCAGGTTAAATTAACTCGAAAGATGCAGAGTAATAAGTTGACATAAAATTTTAAGGAGCTGATTTTTCATTTTTACAGTGTATTTAATCCTGTAATTCATGTATGTAATGGTTGCATAAACTGAGAAGGTTGCATACAACACAGTTGATCTTACTTAATCATTGAGTTTAATTACATTAATAAAAACATCAGTAATCATTATTAGAGGTTATTGTTCAGCTCTGAGTTCAGCAGTGGTTCTTGGACCTGAGGAAATACCCGCTGCATTTTTGTGTTCTTCTATCTAAGTACAGGTGTGACTCTTTCCAACATCACAAATGCACTACTTTTTATGATTGGTCCAACATGGCTGGAGAAAAAAAAAACCCTTCTCAAGTGATATAGGATAGGGGAGGCAAATCCAGACAAAAAAGAAATTTTAACTAAAACAATAAAATGTAAATGCAAACCTCTTTGTGAGATTTTCTCCAAGCAT